TATAAGGGATGGCTTCAAAAAACAGTCTCAACAAGGACTCTGGCCACACGAGAAGGGTCTTTATACGTCTCCTGATCCGAAAGTTGCTGGTGGATATGGTGCTACTCAAGATGGACACAGAGTAAAACCCGGTGTGGTTCTAGCCGTATCAATTCCGAGAGGAACACCACATGTCGAAACCTATATGCCTATGGCAAATAGGAGAGGAATCAAAAATCAAATGGATATTATGGATAAAAAATTTGGTGAAGGGAATTATTCTGTAACTGGTCCACAATCTTCTGAAAATCGTGCAAAAGAGACCATCACCAAATTTCCTATTGCTAGCAAGGCAAAGTCGCAAAAATTGTCAAAGCAACCAACACTCGACACTATGGGTAATTTTGAACCGGGAAGTGATATTCGAAAACAACATCAAGTTAAACCTACTCACGAAGTGGTGTCCGTTAAAAGTTTCGCAACCATCTCAAAAGTTCAGAGAATCAGTTTCATGAGGGCATTTCCAGAAAATAAAAAGTTTCAAAAAAGAAAATAGTCACCTCATCAAACTTGTAACTATATTTCTGTATGATCAATAAAGTGTAGTATAAATCATTATTACCAATAAATATCATTAAATTATACCCAAAGACATGTTATACCTCATGTTTGTTATCCTAGAATGCGGTTAAAATGGATCTACTCGCGTCCTAATAAAAAATCCGTCCAGGTTCCGTCCAAGTAAAAAAAAGTTAACTAGGACGGGATATATTATAGGAGAAAGTTTTTTTTCCTTAATCTATCTTGTTCTTTTATACTTTATAAAAATCCGTCCTAGTTGTCCTAGTAAAAATTAAAATTCTAGGAAAAAAAATGCAACCTTTTCTATATGGTATATGTGTGTATATATTAATATGTATATCCAAAAAAAAAAAATAATAAAGTAAGAAATTCCGAAATTTTACTAGGACAACTAGGACAACTAGGACGGGTAGTCTAGAACTCTTTCATTTGCTTCAAAAATACCATGCAAGCATTTTTTTCGTCCCATTTAAAAATTTATCTAGGACGGATTTTTTTACTAGGACGGATTCTCTTTTATTTCAAATTCATTCTGAGCCAGTTTTGTTAGCTTTTTCCGTTGATAATGATCTCTGAATCGATACTTGCCAGAATGATCTTCACAAAAACCATAAGTAGACCGAGTTAACTTGCCACACTCTTCGCAAGGTATACGTATAGGGGAATCCCTATGAACTTTACACCCCTTTGGATGATAACATCCCCGGTTACATTCCTCGCCAGTTCTAAGAATATAGGAGCAACGATAAAACGCCATATCTAAAAATTTTTATAATACAATTTTTAGCGGATCTAGTTTAACTATTAATGTGTATATTTTATGTCTAACACTAATATTTCTAAATAAATAATTCTAATTTGAACTTTATTATAACTTATAATATACTTTCAAAATAATATAAGTTATACTTTCGAAATAATAAAAATAAACTCAACATGAACGTCCAAAACGCAGAAACCCAAAACAACGGCACAGAAAACCCAGAAAACGAAACCAACGGCGTCTTCTACCACCACGGGCACAACGCCGAGAGCGTAGCCGAATATATGTATAAAATCCGTGATGATAGTGTAAGACCAAGACAATTTCTTGGTACGGATTCTGAAGATGGGATAGAGGCAATACTTACAGAACGTACAGGCCATTCATTACATGAATATATTGATGGAGATTACTCACTTCGTCCTATTATCGATTTTGATTTATCTAGAGCAAAATTTGATAAAATCGAACCCAAGCTCACACCTAAAGAAATACAGGATTTACTTTGTCATGCCTTTAAGGAAGTTTGTCTAGAGATATATCCGGATTGGAGGCCCAATACTTTAACAATTGCCAGTAGTAGTGATAAGAAAAAAATGTCGCTCCATATATCAACTTTTGGCCTCCGACTTAAAAATATTGCTAAAGTTGCAGTGTTTACTGAGCTTGTCCGCAAAAAACTCCCAGTTAGTTTACAAAGCAAAGATATTGTTGATAATATTGCAAATAAGAGTTCATTCTCCTTACGTATACTCGGAACCCCGAAATTTATTGAAGCTACAAAAGAACATGTACGAGTGAAAAAAGCAATATACCCAAAAGATAGTTCTCTTTTCGATTTTATACTCCGCCCACCTAATGACGATTCACCAGTTATAGATAGTCCAATCTTGAATACCTTAAAGGAAAAAATATCAGAAAAAAATAGCCACCTTGTAACTGCTTTCAACAAAATCGATGCTGGGACTATCGGATCTGAAATAGAATACATAGAAAAACTACTTGAAGAGTATAAAATCGAAGGTTTTGAAGTTTTATATCCTTCACCTACACTCCTAAAAATATTCCCTCTAAATCGTAGAACGGAATCTCAATGTCCACTCTGCAATCGAGACCACACTAGTGATAATGCATATATAATCCGAAATAAGAAAACTTATCATTATTATTGCCATCGAGCGGATCAAGAAACACAAACAGGCACAAGAAAACCCTCATTAAAACTTACTTTAAATGTATCGGTCTTGGAACGGGAAAACAGTCTTTCATCCCCAGAAAAAATAGAGCGACCCAGAATCTCAGATCCAAATGACCGCTTTGTATGGGGTGATTTAATTCGTATGTGTACTTCTAAGAAAAATTTTACTCGGAATGAAGTATATAATGCAATCCAGGCTACACTTGCTTGTGTGGTAAGAGATAAACGAACATGGATTCTTAAACACCGAAAACCGGATGGTAGATTATACTTTGGTATGGCACCTACTCTAGATTTCGGTAAAATAACTATTAATATAGTAGAACTTGGAGGAGAACCAATAAAATTAATCTCTTTGATAGATTGTATATATGACAGCAAGGTGATTATTTATGATGACATCAATTTCTTACCATATCCACCTAATATCGAACAACCAAAAAATGAATTCTTCAATCTTTTCTTAGGATTCAAGGCTAAACCGGCACCTCGAATTAATTACGATCTTGTGAACCCGATTATATGGCACATAGAAAATATCTGGTGTGATGGAAATAAAGTTCTTTCTACATATGCTCTCAAATGGTTAGCATTTTTAGTTCAGTATCCAGCAATAATTCCAGGAACAATTCTTGTTTTGCGTTCACCGCCACGATGTGGGAAAAATATTATTACTGATTTTATTCGAAAAAGTTTATTCGGTCCAGAGCTTGTATATTCAATGTCTGACTTAGGTAAAATTTTGGGAAAATTCAACAGTAGTATTCAAGGACGTAAACTTATAATTATGAATGAAGCGGGAATGTTAAGTGGAGAATGGCATAAGTCAAACGATCACTTAAAATCTCTAATTACAGAAGATTACATCTCAATTGAGCGCAAAGGTCTCGAAAATCAAGAATGTGGCCATTTTCCTGGATTTATAGTATTAAGTAATCATGACGCCCCAATTCGTGTTGAGCAAGGAGATGGTCGTATTGTATGTTTAGATGTTTCACCTCGATGTAAAGGTAATTTTAAATATTTTGGTCAGTTGGGAAAAATTCTCAACCATCCCGATACACCTGGATCTTTTATGAGCTATTTACTTGATCAAGACCTTTCGAATTGGAATCCACAAGAAAATATTCCTACCACTAAAATGAAAACAGAGACAATGCGTGAGCATCTCCCAAATCCCATCCGATTCATAATTGATCATATTTCGGTATGGTCAAAAGATCAAATTGAAAAACCAGGTTGTGTTATGTTATATCAGGAGTATCGTACATGGTGTGAAGCTAATGGTGAAAAGCCATTCAGTAATAATAATTTTGGGAAAAAAATCCCACAAGTTAACATTGAACGAAAACGTGCTGGCGGTGGAAAAAGAGAATGGCAGTATATCCTTGACCGATCCAAAATCGTATCCAAATTACATGAGTCAATTGGCGATATCGAAGAATTTGAGTTGGAAACTCATGGTCTTTCCACTTCTGATATTTCACAAGATAGCTTTCCTACCAAAAGTTCTATGGAAATTCCGGTATTTAGTGTTCCTGAAACGAAGAAAGAAGAAATCGAACCGGAAAAAGAAATACTGAAAAAAATAGAATCGGTTCCTTCAACATCTAAAAATTCAGAGATTATTGACATTCCTGAACCTGTTAGCGATGAATCAGAAATATCTTCCAACTTACCTGAAAACGATAAATCTGAATCTAATAGTGAAGAAACCATATCCAAACCAGTAGCATTACCTTCCGACTATCCAACCCGGGACCAGCGGGAAAAACGTCTTAGGCAATGGGCTATTGATCATGGCGAGGATCCAGATGTATTCATGACTATTACTGAAAAAGATATTAATTTATCTAGAGAATACAGGGATAGAATAATGGCAGATGCTGATATGATCCAATTCACAAAAGATATCGATGATGATCCAAATTCATTAATGGATATGACTAGAAGAGAAAGATTAATAAGTGAGGAAATTATGATCCGATTGCATGAGGATAAGGGTAACCCCCAACCAAGGAGTTATAACGATGATGAATGGATAGAAAAAATATCGATACTTCAAGAAAACGGATACCTATGGTAAATCCAATATATATATTTTAGAAAATCTCCAATTTATAATGACGTATTAGATGGAACAAATAATAGCAAAGCTAGTACGGCTAAAATTTTAGTATAAATATATCCACAGAGGGGATTTTTTGTCCTTCTAAATAGACATTATAAAAATTCAGATTGGAAAATATTTGTTTTTCATACCACTTATTGGAATAAATCCTCTTGACGTGCTTTGCACAATATCCCGTATAAGATGATGTAAGTTTATTACAAATTCTACAAGGAGCTTTTTTTTTCATAGAAATATTTCTTGCATGGCTGATATCTATGAATGAAGAGCGGGTGATTAATTTTTGATTTGAAAAAATAAATATGTAACAAATATACTGCAATCTACTTATCGATATACGTATTATCATGAACACTGCTTCAAAAACCCGAAAGCCCCAAACTAATAATTTTACCTCAATTTTGGACCAGATCCTAAAAAAATATAACTTATCCACCGAATCTAATCCATCTCAATTATGTGTCTATGCTAGTGAACTTGGCGCTATGTTACCAGATTGGAAAGCTCGTAAAAATGTGAAAGAAGCTCTTCGTCGACGTCAATTTAAAGAAGAACAGATCAAGGCTCTTGTACCGGATAAAAGGAATGAAAAACTTACTATTAGGGAAAGAGTTCAATATTGCGCTAAAAGTGGTGATCCGTATGATATTTACTTACATGCTTTAGATTTAGTCAAGACAAAAAATGATAGTGATGAAGAAATTGTTGCATCCAGCTCACGTCTTTCGCTTTTCCGTAAGGAATTGAAAGAATCTGGAGTTGATTCTAAAGTAATTGATATATATGCTAAATTTCCAGCACTTACTCAAGATTCTAACGAAATTCAGAAGAAGCAACTTGTACAGCGATTACCCAATGTTCCTAAAACCCCTAAACACTTCTCCTTAGAGGAGGGACTCAGAAGAATTCAAAGTATCGATACTACTAAAATTCCCACTATGCAGGATCTTGCGGATGTGATTATGATGTTAAGCATGAGACCCGCTGAAGCAACTACTCTTCGCATTATCCATTATGAGTCTGGCAAATCAAATCCTCCGGAATGGTATAATCCCGATTACTCTTGGTATTGTACTGGGTATATTAAAAATAAAGGAGAAGCAAAAAACAATCATGAACCTCGACCATTTCTATCCATGGAAAAGAATCCAGAACGTGCAAGAGAATTGCTTACCTGGATCCAAAATGCAATAGCAATTGGAAAGTTGCGTGATCCTGTCTATAGTATTAATGGAAAACGCAGTACAGGAGTATTTAGTAAATTTTTAAAACCATATGGTATTACAGCTAAAAGATTAAGAAAAATCGGAGGTAAACATGCTTCTAGAGTTCATGGTGGTCAAAATCCAACTTCACAACATTTCGCTCTCCTCAGCAGGATTGCAATGAGGCATAAGATAGATCGTCATGATTCTGGAATGTATTATGCCGAGGGTGATACTTCTTCTGATTCCGATACCAATCCTGATACTGAACCCGAACCTAAATCTCAGCCTAAGAATAACAATCTTTCGAAGGAGGTGCATTATAATCCTTTTGATGCCCAAATCGCAGAAATAGATTCGATGTTAGCAGAAATGTGATGCAATCCAACTTGTAATCAAAAAGACCTATAAAGCTATTATATCAGGACTTACTGATATTGGCAAATTTTTTCTTGATTACTCATCATGGATTGCGGGTGATAGTAGATATAATGGAAATAGATAAATAATCGTTAGTTATTTTTTTTCGGCTAGAGATATTTCTGAATTGGCAATAATAAACCTCTGAATGAAATAATCGAACGTTTAAAAAATATTGAATTACCTCCTCCAGATAAAACTGTTTCAAACTCCAGATTACGCAAAAAAGGATTTCTTAGATCCATTGAATTTTTTTTATGCAAAAGTGATCAGCATGCAGAATCTCTGTTCCAAATTGGACACACACGTGATTTTTCACCTTACTGTTGATTCAAACATTTTATTTTTTGCCGAAGAAGCATACTTCTGCATCTAAAGTTACCCATATGCAATAAAGGCTAAAGAACACTCTTTTAGTTCATTTTTGCTTATATTCTAAGAAATCAGCCTCACGCATACTCTCACGTTCCTTCGAAATAATATACTTATTGCAAAGCAGGTCACTTCGTGTCTGGCTAGGTCTGGCTAAAAATTTGTATGAATTGAGTATGGTTTTTTCCCCATTCTTCCATAAGATTATCGAGCCATGTAGTATTTGAACCACTCTTTAGAATATTGTGACGTAATAATTCTTCACCTATCAGCCTATCCCGATCAGTTAAAAATTTATGATATTTTCTAGGATCTTCCTTTCTCTCTAATGCACCTTGATAAAAGCGTATATCTCTTTCCAAGTCACCACGGAAGCATCTTATGGCCCACCTATTTTTCTCAGTCTCAGTGACGATTGAAAATTTCTCAGGATCCTCTCCATGTTCAATGGCATATTTATAAAGACATTCCATTTTATTTAGATTAGTCCTAGAAATTGGAGAGTTACGGGAATAACAAGGCTCTGCCTCTCGGGTTTTGTTTGATACACTTATCTTCGTTTTGGAATTTATCCAGGGATCGAGCCCAGTTTCTTTCTTATATCTTTTATATAATTTGGAACGAATTTTATCTGTTAAAATACTTGGTAAACCAATTAATTTGGCATGCCAATCCAGATATTCAGAGGTTAATATTTCATCAGACTTAGTTTGTGTATCCATGTTGCCGTTTTAAATAATTCCAAATCAATTTAATTCACAATAGCCAAATGCGAAAACATCCTCATTTCATGAGACAAAAATAAAATATTGAGCGAATTTGTTTCAGTATGCTCTTTATTAGGAGGCAATGAAAGATGGAGTTATGCAGTTATTTCAATTTCACGTTGCTCGCATTTAATATAATAGGACCCAGCTTCATATCTGCCTTCTACACCTTCCTCATCCTCATGATTTAACTCGCATAATGGGCATAATGTCTCATCAGTAATTCCGTAATAATCAACATTTTCACTACTGAATTCTTGATATAAATTAGGATATTGTTCTAATATTTTATTATGGAAATAAGCACGGTCATGAGTTGAATTAGATGATACACTTACCTCGGTTTCTGGTACTTTTTCTGAATCAGCGAAAGCTTGAGATGGTTCCTTTGAAATCGATTCATTAGATATACTTACCTCTACATTAATCTGATCATGGCATTTTTAAGTCACATGACTTTGATCGTTCCCTGAGGGAACGGTTTGTGAAGTTACCTGATTTATAATATTCTGAATTTGAGCATTAGTTAGTTTCGAAATCTCATTTGCACTATATGTAATTCGTTTAATTTTATCTATTCCAACTCCATTTTTTCCGAATAATATAAGAAGTTTTCTAGCTCTAAGGGTTTTTTTACGCAAGTTATCTTGAGTGATATTAGGAAGAAACGGTCTCATTTCTTTATAAACCATTGTTCTTGCCGTTTTATCTTTGATCTTACCATCAGCTGTAATAGCATGAACCTTTTTTTCGAATTCAAGAGAATAATAATACCAGTTTAAGATTTCTTGTTGACGAGATTTGATTGCCGTTTTAAATAAACAAGAAAGATGTTGAGCGGAAGATGCAGAGCTTCGAGTTTCTGACTCACCTAAAATTGTGTATTCTGATTTATCACATGAGATGCTAGTTTCGGTAGAGCTAGTATTCTCTATTGCGGAAGCAATCTCAGTAGATGAACACAGTTCTTCTATTAAGCCCTGTTCTACGATTTGATTTTTATCAACCTCATCATCGTGCTCCAATTCAGACATTTCAGTTTTCGGAAAATCTGGCTCTTCTGAAAT